ATGACGTGGTATCGGATCGGTGCCTGGACTCCAGTACTCGCCGATACCGATGCCAGCATTTTCGGCAGTATCGGAGCAATTTCCGATATCCGAATCGGAACAACTCTAATCAAAACTATACACACCTGATTGTGACACCACAACTATAGAAGCTAATGCTTTTCTGAGGATGTCTCCCTTTCAAACTTCAACACAACACAGACTGAGAATACTGACTTATTGGTGAAATACTTAACACCAAATTATCCCCTTCTACTCTCACTCCTATCTGCCATAACCCTATGTTTAAGAGGAATAATCAGCCAAGGGCACCTTTTCAGTGGCAGCTCACTCATGACCTTTTCCAGCAAACATACAACCTACCCCACCACTGTCACTAGTGGTATGCACAGTTGAAAGAGACCTTAAAAGGAGGAAATTGATTTCCATAACTTCCACAAATTCACCCCTCTCTCTCGCAGATTTCCAAACCTTACACAAAATGTATCATATGGGTCACGCTACAGGTGTCTACACACTACGCTTGTCTATTGCATGGACAACCACTTCCATGCATTCTGGCTTTGCACACCAGTTGGACGATTTTGGTCAGGGTCTTTGGAAAGCGGTCCGAGATGCTCAAACTCAGCATCTCTCTCACATATGGATATACTGGTGTTCTATGTTGTACCTGTTGGTTGGTCTGAGGACTGTGCACTCTCTCTGGGCAGCTTCTCCACCAGGAACATGAGCAGGGAGCGGATCTCTGGCTCGTTGCTGTACAAAAACGTCTGGTAGCCTATCTCTCCTTTATAACCAATGTCCTGGAAAACAACAGTTTGACATATTATGAATACCACTGAGGATCTACAGGCAGGGACTCATACAACTGTACTTATAATTAAAAGTCCAGTGTATAACATTTAGGACGATCTATTGTCAGAAATGGAATATAATATTCATAGGTATGTCTTTTATTGTTTATATTTTATTTATTTATTACCCTAACCCAAACCCTCATAGTTACCTTAAAATTAGTCATTTTTATCTACGTCACCATGTTGAACCGTTATGTTTCTACAGTAGCCCAATACAGACAAACCAAACACTGGCTCTAGATAAGGGCATTCGTGTTTTTTATTTCACTTTTAAAAAATATTTTAACTGAAGCTCCACTTCATAGCTTCAGGGCTTTCAACCACATATCAGCTGTCAACTGAGTTTGTTGTCAAAGCTTGTCTTTAAATGTTGCAACTTTCAACTTTGCAATAGCTTTTTCTGTCAGGAGTCCTAGAACTTGAAATTTGCTCTTAAGTTCATCACTTTAAAGAGAATTAACAAACTTGATTACAGCAACATTCCTGTACTCATGTATAGTTTTTACATGTTATCTTTAAATGTGTGTTTTATGTATCTTTTTGTATTATGTTTACCTCTTTCTACCTTACTGTCTACTTTATTTTCATAAAAGCCCTTCTAGGGGCTGGTGTGGCAAATTGCATTTCCATGCATTAACCTTTCAAGTGATAAGAACATGTGCAGTTTTAGATCGTTATTCAGTCACATGCTGCTCCTTCCTTTATTGTTCCAATTCAAACACTGATTAGAAGGTCCATTTATCTGCATTAAGTTAGGTATGTTCCGATACGAAAAAGGTCATGTTACAATTATCTTGGCCACAATAATTGCGTTGACAATTGAAATATTCTCCCGATAATCACCAAAATGACATGAAAACATCACTTTACATTTTGTTAAAAAATATATATATGTATATATACACACACACTGTTGCCCATTAAGTTGGAATAAAATATTTTTTTACCTCTTCTCATGAAATGTGACAATGTGATTTATTCTTGATAGATAAAGTGTATATCTTCTCAAAACTTTATTGATCAATCTCTTCCAAACATATCACAGTGAAAATTAAATCACAATCAACCTTTGCAAATTGTGTATTCAGGCTTAACCAAAATTGGGGGTATTGAACAATAGGATTAAGGGCTTTGTTTCAATTTTTCAATCTTGGTCAATTTAACAGGAAACACATATTCGAGGTGATTTCATGCATAAGAATGTCCAATATTACTCTTTCAAATGCCACTAAGTCACTAATATTGAGTATGGCCACCCCTGACACAGATCAATGCGTTAAGACGTTGTGGCATACTGTCCACCCGTCTAAATAGCATTAGCGCATGCGCTGCTTTCCCGAGCGGCTGCAGTTGCAGCAGCTCTCGCTCAAAGTTGAGCGTTTT